AAAACACAAGCTGTTTGCCACTACCAAATAGTCCTCTGGATATTTGCAGCCTAAATGTGGTTCCTGAAGCATAGGATGTCCTTATGAGGTGAAGTGTAAGAGCAAAAAGAAGGAAGAAATGAGCCAGGGAAGACTATCCCACCATACAAAACATTTTGAATGCTGCCTGACTCAAAAGCTCCAGAATCTGTCAGAGAAGTCCTTGCCCTTATCTTCTCAAACTTGGAAAGCTTCTTACACATCAATGGATAGAAAAGGGGGATTAGCAGACTTGTTTTTATTTCTTCTCATTTTTAAAAACATCCCACGCCCTGTAACTTCTGCTCCATCTGATTACCATCTGGCAGGCTTTATCTACAAGTTGAAGCCCTGTGTGTAAAGATCACCTATCTATGTATGTCTTATCTTATCATTATGGGCGCTTCCCTTTTGTAAATGTCATCTGAATCTCTTCAATTGTATGCATGGATTTGTCAGGCTTCATTATACAGCAAACCTCCATGCAACTTTAGGACAGGAAAGGGCAGAAGACAGATTGAATAGCAGAACCATTAACCAGTATGGTTGATAAGGACAATTCTTAGGCTGTAAGATCCAATAAAATTCAACTCTTATCTGGAATGGACAGTTTTTGAATAGATAATGGCAATAGATCTATAGCCATAACAATTTCTACAGATAAATTCAACATGAGATAAACACAGCAATGGTCTTTAATAGATTGAAGAAATATGTTCAATTTGGACTCTATTAAAACAGGCCACTAAAGAGAAATTCATCAGAGGTGGATATAGCTTAACATATAGTGTTTGCCTGAATAATAATAACTGAAAATAGTTGCTTCTGGCTCAGAAATGTTAATTCTAACCTTCCCTGTTACCAACTTTACTAGATAAATCTTTAAGGGGAGGCTGTCTTTAACATTTAAATTTTGAGTTTCAGTATTCCCTGGTTGGATTCAACAAGACTTTCACTCAGTCCATTTTGAACTGGGAAAAATATACCTCAATTTTATTTGTATTAATCTTTCATAATATTGGCACACAATGTGGCATATCTATTCACTACTATTGATTATTTACCGTAGGATATAGATAACTGATAAAAAGACTTTAAGTAAAGCAGAACAAAATATTGTTTCCAATCATACAACTCTGCAATTTTATATTCTCCTTCCTTTTATCTCAAGAGTTTCCTCTAGCCCCCAACTCAGATATACACTTTTTGGCCCATACCACAATATCAAATCATTTTTTAAATTACAGAAAGACTTTACTGGATAAAGAAATATTTATTTGTAGTGTTAATATTATGCATCATTCAATATAATATTCTGATGTACATTCAAAATAATATATTATTTTCTACAGTATCGCTTTACAAAATGAGAACAGCCAACATACTTTTTATACTTTCAAAAGTTTGTACATAGTACATTATAATTTCTTGTTTTGTCTTTTGTCAATAGTTTGTGCTGTAATTGTTGCTTCTGCATCTGAAAATTTGAGTCTAAAAATAGATTTTCTATATTTTTCAGATTTGCTTTCCAATATAGCATGACAAATTAGACATCCATAAAAATCAAGTTTCATTTCAAGATTTTTATACAATTATTTAACAGTTCAAGAACAGTTAACAACTATAATTAAGCATATTTTTATGTTGTGCCCATTCTTGCTCTACTGCAAGCAGATAGCATTTATAAAGAATATAAAGATTTGAGAAACACAATGAACGGATGATATTTATCACGTACTGTAATAAAATCTTCAGTTCTCTATTAATTACTGAATGATCTCTTTTTATCTAAGAATAGACCAAAGAATTCAAATGTGTCAATCCAATTATTTCCATCTACTGTAATTGGAAGAGCATCAAATAAAGTCAGTACTGAACTTTAATGACTGAAGCAGTAGGAAACCTGTGGATCACAGGTGGTCTCCATGGTTTTTTTCCCCCAAGCCCTGGAGCCCTCTAAGATTACTATGCTAAATCAAGCAGTAAACCACTGAATGACACCCATTAAAGTTTGCAAGGGAGGCATGAGAGATAACAATTAAAAGAGGTATGTTTATCTTCAATAGTTTGATGTATCACTTTTACTTTTTTTTTTTTTTTTTTTTACAAAAGATTACTTTAGGAAACTCCTTGAAGGGATGAAAATCCCAGCTTCGTTCTTCCAGTAACAGCCTCTCCGATGGCCTTTGCCAAAACTAGGATAACATATTAAAGATAGATAATAGCCATTAAAGTTGCCGGTAACTGGATAAAAAGATTATTTAATCACATTTAAATAATGTGTTATCTATATTTGTTTCTGAAGCTTTGCTCAAATATGTCTTTTCCAGTTCCTAGTGAAACTGTTGAGCAGTTGGTTAATCAAAAGTCAGGACACCTGCCTGTAAAGGCAGGAGCCCAGTCATTTCCTGCTTTGTTGCCTGTGGTCTACTGATCATCTTGCATCGCAAGATGCCAGCCACAGCAAAATGTCAGGAAATCTGTGATCTTCTAGACCACAGTGACTAAATGCTGAAGCCCAACACTGTCTAACAAATATTTGTTGTGAAAACCTACTTCTGGTGAAACTGTTCATGAGGAGCAAACACTGCAAGATTCTTCTTTCCTATAATTAATCTAAAAATGAGATTAAAACAGTATAAAGCTTATGATCTAGGGAATTGAACTACAGGATTTCCCCTCTAAGGAGAAGAAACTGGCCTTGATGTAACTCTTCAAAATTCAATCCGACTCTGATATTGATCAATCATGACTTCAGAAAGAACCAGGAGGCAGGCTCAGGGAAAGGCCATGGATTCAATGTTGTGTTGATCCTTTAACGTAGATCCTTGTAAAGTATCTATACTGGCTTGGAATGGACATACATTCTCTTCCATTCTTCAGAGCGGGACAATAATTTTTTTGCATATATCTCTGTTCCCTCACTTCCAATTTACAGATCTGTTGCCAGCATGATTTTAGAAATGTCTAAGCCTCCAATGCTAGAGAATGTTGACTAAGATTGACTTGGGCCAGTGATTTCTAGTTATTATTTTGCTGATATATTCTCATTTATCCTAGTGTTTCAAATGAAATCCTTGGAAGACCAATGTGGATCCTAAATCACGTTGAACAATAAAGTTAAGATTTTGCATAAAGGAAAATAGCTTTTTCTGATAGGAGGTATGATCTTTCCCTTTTTAAAGGTCATTTTGCCACTAATTGACTTATTTAAAACATGTCTGTGCATTTCTTAAAGTAGTAAAATATTAAGTTAAGAACATTTTTCATACAGAGTACCCAGGGCATTAACAGTGGTTAAGGCACCAGGCTAGAAATCAGGATCCTGTGAATTCTAGTCCTGCCTTAAACATGAAAGCAATGGATAAGAGGCTGTTTAAGTCCAAAATAGGAATTCTTTCATAGAATAATTAGAATAAAGAGCGAGGCCAACTATCTTTATGTTGGCTGAAGAACTAACAGATTCACAAATTCAACAGATTCAACAAACAGTTAAACTTGAAAACTCTAAGTCTAAAAGTTATCAAGTTGTGGAACAAAATGTAATTTGATGGGGAACCAAAATCCACTCTTGGTTCTCCACTATCAATCTTCTTCAATTCAGTAGTGTGCAAGGAAAGAGGGTATGAATGGTTTTTATAGTTTTATTTTCTATGGTATTTTATAAACAACTGGGAGTCAAAAGTCCTTTAGTGACCTGTGTCAAATCACATAGAGAGAAGATACTGAGATCATCTCCTCTCTTTTACTTTTCAGGTGATCTACAAATACTTATAGAAAACTGGAAAAAATTTGTGTGATTAATTCATGTAGACAGTTATTCATACATTATACCTGTAACATAATCACAGTAAGAGTAATGCTAGTACATCACAATATAATTTTAGTTTTCCACTGATTTTCATAGCAATTTTAAGCTGTCTATTATATGGTAATTAGGATTCAATTTATAAATCAGAATTAATATGATTACCAGCACCTATTCCAAAAACATTCTTGACAATTTTGTGCCTCTTATATTAGAATTTCCTCTTTGATTGTTTCTCAGTGAATCTGTGATGATTGTGCAGCTTGGGAATCTCCAACTAATTTCAGCAATTATTGCCAATATTTTTATTAAGACCTAAAGAAGGGGGAAAGGGGCAGACATATGTTATCCAGCTACACAAAATATATGATGAAGAGAAAGAAATCAAAATAGTCCCATTTTATAGAACAAGCAAGATCTATTGATTTAAAGAAAATAATTTTAATAAAATAAGTCATCCTGAATAAGAAGGGCAAGGTTAGAAATCTTAATTTTAAAAAAAATAAAGAATTAGTGGGGATAATCACAATTGCTCACTTTACACTCTATCTATCTATCTATCTATCTATCTATCTATCTATCTATCTATCTATCTATCTATCTATCTATCTATCTATCTATCTATCATCCTCACTGCCCTGCTCCAAAAAGAGAAAGTCCCATCATCCCGATTACACTAAAAAGGGAAAGATGAAAAGAGAAAAGAAAAGAACTAGTACCCTAGCAAAACTATACAAGCCAGCAGATCCAGAGGAAGAAAAGGAGAAATCTGAATTTAATTGAACTCCTGCTCCATTCCTCTAGGCTTCTGAGAAGAGTTGCAGAGCTGGTATGTCAGCATTTCCTCTATCTGCTCAAGAGCCAGAAGAAAAGTTATGGTATGAACTCCTCCAATGGGGAAATGAAAGCAGAATGTTTTGGAAAAAAGCTATTCCATTTACCAAAGCAGGAAATAAAGCAGCTCAGCTTTCTAACATGGCTTGACATTGAGGGATCATGAGAATCCAGAGCAGTTTTCAAACCAGTGCTGGATCACTAGGCTTATGTGGAAGTACCTACAGTTTCACTGGATTCAAGACTGATGTCCTGTTAACCTGCTTTATGTTCTCAAAGAAGCCAACTTCAGCTTTGTACTCATTGAAGAAAAAAAAAAGGGGGGGGGGTAAACAAGCTATCAGATGATGCGGCTGCCACCCAGTCCTTTAGTCACTAACCTTTTACAACAGCAGAAGATATTTATAGGACTCTCTTCTTCTAATCTGTATCTTCCAGAGTTTGGCAGATCTTTGCACTGGGCTATGAATGAATGAAGCTCTGTCTCTGGAAAGCCTTCATGCTGGTAATGCTAAAAAAAAAAGTTGTTATGTAGAACAACACAGGTGGATATTACGGTAAGTGGCTATGAAAAACACAATTTTTAAAAAGGTATTCGGTGAGGAAAAACAGGGAAGGTCAGACAGGGTTTCTCCTGGTGAGTTAGAAACCATTAGATAAGTAGAAAAGTGAGGTTCTTGAACTCTGTGTACGTCATCCTCCTTCCCCCAAGATTCTACATAAGATTGGAGGTTAGGATGGACTTGTAAACTGCATTTTAGCTGGCTTCAAGTATTGGTAGAAATGGCCGGAGAACACAACTTGGGGCTTCAAGACTCCAGGCAGACTCAGAATGCCTCGGAGGGAATACTCAGATCTCTTCCAAATGATACTGCCAAATTATACTTTTTAATATGAGAGAAAACAAAAATTCTGAAATGCAAAAGCAAAGCCATTTTCTCCAGCTCCTTGTGATTTACACGGATACATGCATTCAGTTTTATTGCTCAGGAATGGTAAGAAAGTGATATGGTTCTGCCATCTTCCAGGATGGTTTTTCAACCTCCCACAGTGCTGGATTTTTCAAGTGGTCTCCAATATGAAAGCTAACCAGAGCCAAACCTGCTTTGTCAAATTGTAAGTTAGCTAGGTGCTGACGGCTGCTAAGGCAGTTATTAAATGCATAGAGCGGGAGTAATCATAGGAGCTGTATTTAATTAAATGTCATTTGTAATTCAATTTAAATGTAACGTTAACTTAAAATTTTGTCTTGATCCTGGGGTCTTCTTATGTCGGGTGCTCAGGAAGAGTGCTTTATGGCTTTTCATTTTTTTGTATTCAGTTTAGGCTCTACAGAGGACATTAGGAAGTTGGGCACCTGTTGACAGATGTGTCGTCTCTAAACTATCTTCTGAAGAGGTTTCCTCATATTATAGACAATGGAAGGGAGAAAGAATTGTCATCATAGTACATGTCCTCTTGCCCAAGGGAAATTAAACATAACAGCTCAAATTAAGTAGAGCTGGGAAATTAAGCAACAGGTTACAGTCTTAACTCTCAGTCTTGGTCATTCTTTAGAACCAGTCCCACCATGCTAACAAACAAGATTTTGACACAAAAATCTTCCTCACCCCGAGCGTGGAAGAAATGATGACACTGCATCATGACATCATCATGCAAATGGTCCTTTCTTGCTTACTTGCAGTAAACATGATGTTATTAGAGCTCCTTGTCATTTGTATGATGATGTCAGGATGCCATGCTGAATTCCTGCAAAGGTGTAGAATATTCCAATATCTCAGAGGCTGCCACAAAGAAGAGGGAGTCAAGCTATTCTCCAAAGCACCTGAAGGCTGGAGAAGAAGCAATGGATGGAAACTAACCAGAGAGAGAAACAATCTAGAACTAAGGAGAAATTTCCTGATAGTTAGAACAATTAATCAGTGGAACAACCTGCCTCCAGAAATTGTGAATGCTCCAACACTGGAAGTTTTTACAAAGAGACTGGACAGCGATTTGTCTGAAATGGTATAGGGTTTCCTGCCTGAGCAGGGGGTTGGACTCGATGACCTCCAAGGTCCCTTCCAACATTATTATTATTATTATTATTATTATTATTATATTGTTGTTGTTGTTGTCATCTCTGTACGCACACAAGACTAATTCAATGAGCAAAATCATCTGATATTCAGAAAACTATTTCGGAACTTTCTGAAATTCACATTTAAAAAATTAAACATAACATCCTATAGCAGTGATGGCAAACCTTTTAGAGACCGAGTGCCCAAACTGCAACCCAAACCCCACTTATTTATCGCCGGGTGCCAGGTGGGCGTGGCCCACTGGATGGGTGTGGCTGTGGTGATCATGGCAGATTGGGTGGGTGTGGCCAAGATGGGCGTGATCACCTTGATGTTGCTTGTGGGAAGAGACGCCTGTGGGGGCCGGGCAGGGTTGGGGGAGATCCAGGGGGTCTCTGGCAGGTGGGGCGGTGGGCAGGAGGCTCATCCTGCGGGGTGAGGCGAGGCAAGGCGGGGGTGCCATTGTCACAGGGCAAGGTGAGACGGGCTGGGGCGGCTGCTGCCTGACACCATCGGCCCCTGCACACAGAGGCCAGCGAGCGCATGGGTGCTGGGATGCATCTGGCCATGTGGGACCTCGGCAAGTTAGCAGGCGGCTGGTTGAAGAGGGACGATTGCCATCTCCGGGGCATGGCGCGTGTGCCCACAGAGAGGGCTCTGAGTGCCGCCTCTGGCACGCGTGCCATAGGTTCGCCACCACTGTCCTATAGTAAACGTCTACGTACCTTAACTGTTTCATACGTGTCTGTAATTAGGGCAATGAAGAGACTGAGAACCATGTAGATAAAGAGGCTAATGAAAGAGTAGAGGTAGATCCGACTGAATAGCCATACCAGGTAGCTTTTCTGTTGCATTTTTGCAAAAGTAGCAAACATGTCATCTCCATTTATCAAAGAGAAAAGACACTCAGAAACCATATTCAAGGTATGGAACTAGAAGAGAACAAATATTCAGGATCAAACAGACAAAACAAAATTATTTTCATTTTTGTTTAAAAGATACTGGCCAAATATAGTAAACTGTTACGTGTTTACTATAAATATAGTAAAATGTTATGTGTTTTACTCAATAACAGTCCTTGAAAAACTCTGGATATTACAATATTTTATGATGTCTGCATCAATGACTCAGATAATAGAGAATATATACTTATACATGACAATTCCATATTCTGGCAGCATGCTCATTTTGTTAACATTTGCGCAAGACACTTCGGATACAAAACTAGATCACAAACACCCCAATCACAGTACCTTAGCATGATATGGGCCCAGCACAATCCAGCCACAGAAGCAATAACCCAGATAAATCATAGCTGCACAGCAGCAAAATCGAATGACATTGGGCAATGCTGCACGGAGAGTCAAAATAAGCAGCTGAAAAACAAGGCCCAACAAAAACCCAGAGATGCTCATTAGACTTTCCAAAGGTATTCAGTACCACCAGATAATAACAGAAATAAATACCAAGAGCATGAAGGTCCCAGAAGATCCTTACATTATACTTCTGAAAGAAGCTGAGGTAGCGGATTACTCCAAGCCACACAAGCATGGTGGAAGTTCCTAAGAGGATACTGCAGACATCATAGCTTGTCAGACTCTACATGAAAATTAAGATGATGTTCAATAAGTTACACTGATTGCATTTCAGGAGAGATGCCCCCCCAAAAAAACCCTTTCATATTTATTTTAAAACTTGTGGATACCATATTTTCTTCACTTTTGTCAAGAGTCACTTGACATTGAGATAGGTGGCATATAAATTTAATCAATCAATAAATAAATATTTTTGCTGGATTAGCAGATAGACAAGACCATCCCTGGAAGGTGGGTATACCTTGTGACATTAAAAAATTGGGATAAAAAATTACAGAGAGCTGCTTCCTGGTGGACAGAGAGCACAAGCGAGCTGCACAACAAATGAATAGACTTTTGACGATATGCACAGATACTGCTCATTCTTAATTTACAATGCCATTACCATGGATAGATAAAATATACAGCTAGAAAAATCCCTTCTCTGGAGCAGCAGTTTTCTCAGTCTGACCATTTCCCCCAGTTGAAGACTCAACTGAAGTATGAAAATAAGAAATTCAGGTTGGCCAATAAGATTTCAGTTGGGACTTCCAAAACATAGGTCACCTAATCAGCATGCAAGCCACTTACCTTAGCTTGTATCTCCATCTTTAATGTAGAACCAATTATGGTAAGAAGGTCGCTAATTATGATCATGATATACCATCCATTGACAAATTCCATCAGATCAGAGAAAGATACTTCTTTCTTATAGTGATGTTGGAAAAAAGTCACAAATTCCTAGGGTATGTGGAGTAGGCAAGAAAAGAGAAATTGCTGTTGAGAAGCTGCAATTACATTGATTAGGAGATACTGACAAACACAAGCTTACCCTTTGTAGATGAATTCCTTTAATTACAGATCGTGTGCAGAGAACCAGTGATGCAAGACATGTCAGTATGACAAAACCATCAAAGATCATCATGTAGTGGGTATTCTTCTGTACTGTGGGGGGAAAAAGATTGGTTTATTTATCTATGCATAATAGTTAACCTGATACTCTCATAGGACACATACTTATTTGTGTCTGTAGGGGAATTTTCTTTATGAAATTGCCTTGAGAGAGTGCTAATAATGGAGAAGAGGCCTCCATCTTATTTAATCTTTCAATAAATGTCATTGAAAAAGGGAGAGGTGAATAATTAAGGGGTTTCAGAGCAGTCAAAAAGAATGAACGCTTCACACCTTTCAGTAATTAAAGAGAACCCCTCCTCTCAAGTTAGTATTTGCATTTGGGGCAAATTTCCCATTGTGAGGAATTCCCTTCTATTATAGTGTAAATAGTGTAAATATTAACTGTATAGAAAGAAACTTTAACTTTAACGATGAAATGATGTAACATACACTCACATTCAAATTGTGTTCTCATTTGACACACACTTTAAAAAGTACAGTTACTGCAGATTATAGCAAATACTGTATTTAACTTCATGCATCACTAGGGCCTTCAGTAAAATCCTAATATTTTGGCACTAAATAAGTAATAATAGCATGATTTTTTTTAAAAAACTTACTTGATCCAGAAACATGCCAGTCTTTACATTCCTCAATGGCAATATCATTGTCTAGGCTTATTTTAATTCTTCCACTATGAGCTTTGTTATCAAATACTATCTGTAGATATTGTGGAGGTAGAAAAGATGCTATTGTTATTATTATTTCTAAACATTTCTATCCCTCACTAATTCAGACAGGTTGAATTTGCCTATACATTTAGTTCTGTTAGTGTACCATTCTTCCCAAAATCTAAGCAATTTAAAAATTAGATAGAGAAATAAAATGAAGACTATATTTGAATAACCCTGGAACAAAACATAACAAAACTGTGAGAGAACATAACCCAATTTCTCCATCTTTTTAATATTGTTTTAGAAATATTGCTATTCTTATCACTATTTGGGTTTTATTGCACTTTTTCATCTGAGGAGTATTCAAGATAATCACCAGCCACCATCAACAAAAAACAAATAGAAACAAATTTTAAAATGCACAATTAGAATATAGTTAAATGCATAAACAAAAGTATTAATAATATTGTTAATCCAATTCAAAAAGCTAATACTATACAGAAATATGTTTTGAACGTACTAAAAGGAAAAAAAGGTAAATTACTGAATGGATATTTGCAGCTGTGGGCAAGCAAATCTCTGGTAGCAATAATTCACTGGTGCCTACCTCTTGAGGTAGATTCACCTTCATAATTTCACTTCATTCTCTACTTCTAAGTTGCTACTACATATACTGCAACAGTCCACTTTAAGAAGTTGATGCCATCTATTCTAGACCCATTTCTCCCATCCAAACCTGCCCTTCAGAAAAAGACTAATTACAAATCTTCATCAGGAGTTCAAACTTTTTTTTTTAAACTTGCTTTTCTGCTCATGATGCTACCTAGTTTATTTGCAAATAAACAGCCAAGCTCAGAAAGCGCCAAGGGCTTCACATTTCTTCTTACTGTTAGCGTGAAATCGTAGCAGTCTGGGAGTTCATGCTGTCGAATGGTCTGGAGATTAATGGCCTTCAATTTGAACATGAGCGTCAGAGTCACAAGTCTGGAACAGAGACTACAGCTTTATTTCACCGTTACCAAAAATATTCAAGAATATTAGCAATTTTTATTTTTTTCCCCTCACCTATGGAAGTCTAAAGTGAAATTGAAAGGGGTCTTCCTCAGTGTACTATTTTCCAGAGGTAGTATTGGCTCCACATAAAGACACTCTGTGGGAAGACAGATGGTTTATATGGAAAATAATCAACATTTCATAAGCTGAAGAAGACAGAAAATCAGTAATAAGGAAATGAATCCAGTCTGGTCATTAGTAGTGTTATCTAAATAATATGAGAAGTAAATCTTTGTTCATACAAAGAAAAAAACAGCTACATTTTTTATTGATTTAATGTATACATTTACTGAACTTCTTGCCTTGTGGATTCTTATTTGATGAAGAATCCCTGGAAATATCTGCTCCTTAAAAATAAATTCAAAACGGAAGTTTTATAATTGACCCATAGTCAGTAAGTATAGAATCAGAATATTATCTCTATGGTTAACATGCTCTTCTATTTATCTCTGTGGAATGGTACTTCAATGAAATTATAAGTTACTTCCATCTAAATAAAATAAAGAAACAGTAATTCAAAAAGTTCTTATAATTATAATGTAATTACTTTTATATGTTACATATTGGTTCATGTAATTACAAACACATATATCAAGAAAAAAAAACCTCAATCTTTCAACAGTTCTTTAATATCTTTGAAACACAATAAGTTTGAGTTAAGCTGTCCTTACAGAATTCAGCCTTTGGCTTTGTTCAGAAATGTTGTACACATATGTTCACTAGAATAGTTCACTAACGCAGATCATTATTTATGTCGCTATTTCCAAACTCCAAAATGATGTCCCAGTGCTGCGCAGCCTGAAAAGCAGGGCAGAGTCAGCCAAGATATTTCAGTATTTGCCTGAAGCAAATGAATTAAAGAATGGCATCCTGCCCAGCTCAGGTACACAAGCTAACTGGATTCATAATGCATTTAAGATGACATTTTCTTCCATACTTGAGGGCAACAGGGCAGGAGAGCAAAATAGTTCACACAGCAAACATTTCTGTCATTCAACAGGTTAATAATGCTTTCTACCCCACATCTCCTGCTTGAGGTGACTGTCTCACTTTGCATAATAGTAAATCTCACCCTGAGCCTGAATCACCAATCAGTGTTGAGATTACATGACTGATGTCTGTCTGCACTGTTGAGTTGGCAAGACACTTCTGTGCATGCCTCTTTCAGAAAGAGGCATGGCAATCTGTTTTGATTTTGATTATACTACAGTGTCTTGCAAGTAGATGCATCCTCAACTCTGTTCAATAATTATGAAGAACCTGCTTCAGATACAATTACAATAGAGTCATTCACACTGGCCCCTGAGTCAGCAACTTTTATCAGCAGGGTTTTCAGGTCACTTGGAAATTAAAACAGGCACAGAACATATTAGGTCTGACTGAAGCTGACATCGTTTGAGTGACATGGGGCAAGGAATTAAGTGAAGTACTCACATCACTACTGCAGATTTCATAATTACTTAAACAAGACAAAATGATCAAAGGCCTGGAGACTAAAACATACGAGGAATAGCTGCAGGACTTGGGTTTGGCTAGCCTAAAGAAAAGAAGAAACAGGGGTGACATGATAGCAGTATTTCAGTATTTGAGGGACTTCCACAAAGAAGAGGGCATCAAACTATTCTCCAAAGCACCAGAGGGTAAGACAAGAAACAATGGTTGGAAACTGACCAAAGAGAGAAGCAACCTGGAATTAAGGAGAAACTTCCTAACAGTGAGGACAATTAACCAGTGGAACAGCTTGCATTCAGACATCAATCACTGGAGATTTTTAAGAAGACACCTGTCTGAGATGGTATAGGTTCTCCTGCTCGAGCAGGGGGCTGGACTAGAAGACCTCCAAGGTCCTTTCCAGCTCTATTCTATTCTAAGACTCTAATGTACAAGTAGTCCAACCACAGCTGCTAAGTGATATTGTCGCAAAGTGACTATATAAACATCATATGATTGTGCCATGCTCAGAATGTCAGTTCCACTGCAGTCATTAACCAAAAATCCTCATATTGTTAAGCGAAATGTCATGTGACCATGATTTGCGACTTTCTGCCATCTTCCATAATGATTTTGCTTGTTGGAAGCCAGCTGCAAAGGTTCACAAATGGGAATCACATGATCCTGGGACGCTGCATCTATTATAAATGCATGCCAGGTCTTAAAATTACTTTTTCACTGCTGAATGCAGCAATTGGTAAGTGAGGACTATCTCTAGTACTTGAGTTTCTTCCTGTACAGTGTGCCTAATAAAATATCTGAAGTACCTATCCATTATACTGCAATGTTACTGGAAATTACCATGTATTTGCTTTTTAAACACGTCTTTCCTCAAGTTATCTCTCTCACACACACTTCTTTCACCCTCTCTTTCTCTCACCCCCATTCTCCTTTTTCTCTCTCACACACAGAAACAATCTATCTGATTTGAGTAGTTCAGTATATCACCAGTTTCAATTTCTGGGTCAATATCGAAAGTGTCATTTCCAGGGCTGATAATTCCTCTCTTGTAGAAGTACTGACATATTGCCATGGGTGTCTCTTCGGTTCCTCTCTTTTCATAGGCATGATTTCCAACAGAAATAGTACGCAGCTGTAAGAACTAAATGACAAGGGACAACCAGTTAATGGATCTGCCTGATAATTAAAACTGAACTAATTAGATAGGCAAGAGAAGCAAGGATGTCTGTGATGAAACATTCTGCTTTTCAGATTTATCAACCTCATGAATGGAATTACAAAGACTAAGGTTCAAATGAAAGCAAAATTTATTCAATTACAGAAAACCTCATTTTTATGGGCCAATTGGCTGAGTTACCTTTATCTCATGAGATTATCATGAAATTAAAAGGTCTGCACCTCTTGACTTGTTAGAGCCAATGCAAGATATACAGTACAGGAAACCAATCTGATTTTCCTTCTACTCATATCTGTTCACTTATACTGACTTGGCTTTTTTCAAGTTTAGTTTAAATTCAATGTATAATTTTACTTTTATACAATATAAGGATGCTTTTTATATATATAAAAATACCTGGTTTATTGTGAAGGAGATCTGGTCATAGACCTCAGCTTGTGTGTACACTGCATAGGTGTCATCCATGCTGTCCATATAACCTTTCAGGAATAGATGCTTAAAGGATGCCGTGTTTTCTTCTTTAAATGCAACCACCATTTGATTACTTAGCCCAAAAACTACAAGCTGAAAATATCCCCGCCCCCCAAAAGTTAAATATTAGCAGTCTATAATGTAAACTTTTCTACACAAATAGTTGGTCACGTATTAATAATTACAGCTCAGGTCATTAAATGTGGAACTCATATGTTGTATGAACTTAGTATCAGTATCAACAGAAAGGGAATAATTCGGCTAAAATACTCAATAATTCAAAAATTCTGACAACAAGTACACTAATTTTTTATAGCTGGTAGAGCATTCTTAACTAGTTCTACCCTTCCACTATTCCCTACTCCCTCCCTTGGTAGATTCATCTTACTCTAAGAGTAAAAAAGATATCTTGTAAATAAATCAGCAACTGAGCATATAAAAAAGTATATGGCTAGCATCCCCTCCTGTTTTACAAATGTCATTTTCATTCAGTGATCAAAGCCTTCTCCTATATTTACATAGTTATGTTCTTGTTACACTTATAATGTAGCCCAGTTCAATATTCTAGCTGTATTTTTCTTTTTGGTCATGGATCTGGTTTGTTGAATTGGATACTGTTAGTATAATTCATACTGGACATTTTCATATTGTATTCTGAACACACCGAGAGACAATTTCCTCATAGTTGGTGAGCAATGAGCATTTAATAGAAGGTTGAGGATTGCCATATATAATAATGAAATGAAATGAAACAAAAGTGCAATTGTAAACTTGATATTCTGTCAGTTACTCCAATTCAGCACCTATCAGATATTTGAAGTAAAAGTTCCATAGTTCCAAATGAGGCAGCTATGTGGAGTTGGCCATTCATTAAAGTTCTTATACAACACAGATGGAGAACATATGGTGAGCGTATGTATAATATTATTAAACTTGTCATTACTAAATGCTTGACAAAAATATTTTCCTCCAAAATATCCAGGATGCCAGAACACTGGGGGTCATTTCAATATTTACAGGTGATCCTCAAGTTATGATCACAGTTGTGACCAGAATTTCTGTTGCTAAGCAAGGCAGTTATTACATGAGTTGCACCTGATTTTATAACCCTTTTTTGGGGCACGGTTGTTAAATGAATCGCTGCAGTTATTAATTGAATTATGAGGTTGCTAAACAAGTCCAGCTTTCCCCATTGAGTTTGCTTGTTGAAAGCCAGCTGGGAAAATTGCAAATGCTGATCACATCTCCCTAGGATGCTGCAACCATCATTAGTACATGCTGGTTGCCAAGCACCCAAATTCTGATCATGTGACCATGGGGATGCTTGACGATTGTTAAGTGCTATAACCAATCATAAGTTGCTTTTTTCAATGCCATTGTAACTTCAAACGGTTGCTAAACAAATGGTTATAAGTTGAGGGCTACCTCTATTAAGTCTCAAGGTCTGAAAGTTCCAAGTAGCAAACAGATGGTTCTGAAAACATAATTCTCAAAGCCACAATAAATCAGGGGTTGCCATTTAACTGGTCATAACTTCTTGAATTTGTATTGCAGTAACTAAAAATGAGTGAGTTAAAAAAATAATAATAATTGTATTGCAGCTTTCTACCTCACCTGGATAGTAACCATGGCTATTTTCAGAATTTGTATGCCAAGCTTCCATGGTTTCCTCCCTCGGGCCCAGAATTTTTCACAGGGATTCATAAAGAAAAATTTAAGTTTCCTTCTCAACTGATCTTCCAGAAGCCGGCACATTGGCGGATGATGCTTTACACTGTATAAGTTTTCATCATCCTGGTTATTGCAGCTGCTTACAAGCACTTCCGGATTTTCCATTGCTGGAACAGAAAAACATTAGCAATATTGGAATGATTAACTAAAAATACTATACTGTACATGTGTTTGTGAGCACATCTAAAATTCAGTCTGTGATTGTCTCCTTTGACAATGAGTGAGAGGTTCATCTGTGAACTACAAGTATTACAGCACCTTCCATGCTAAGTTATAGCCAGCTGATGCTATTACATCAGCTAATCATAGCAGTAAAAGAGATTTTAACAGTGAAGAAAAATGAGTTCTCCCACAGTTCTCATGTTCCTGTCACAGAAAGCACACTATTTTTAGAAGCAAACATAAGCAAGTTATTTTCCATAAACACATTGTTTTGTATATCAGTTTTCCTGTTTAGATTTTACAGTTGGATATTGTTTCAAGGGTTATTTATCAAAGCAGAAAATATATATATATTTTAATTTCTTTTTCTCTTACATGCACATTCATCCTTGCCTCTTGTGCTTGATTTCTGCAACACCATGTAATGGCTGAGCATCATCGCTTCTTAGTGGTCCAGAAGCCCAATAATGAATAATTGTGTGTTCTTCAAGACATACCGTATGTATTATACGGCACACCATCCTATTAGTCTCATACAGATCAGAGAAAAGCCACAGAACAAACCAATTTTTCAATCCAACTTTTTGAAATGTTGTGAGCCAACAAACTTTAGCACATTGGGAGACTTCCATAAACAACTTTCTGGGCTTCTTAGTATTAGGAACCCTAGAAATTACAATACACTCTGTTTGCTCTTAGAATATAAATGTCACAGAATCTGCCTTCCTGCTTTTCCTTCTAGTTCTATTGATCCTCTCCTTCACAGAAGGCATGTGAATTATTTAGTACTGTATTTGCAACATTGGCCTTAATATGTCACAAGTTTTTGGTAGAGGGCAACACATTAAAAGTAGGTGCAGCTCCATTCCTAAGTAAGTGCTCAGAGGCAGGTCCCTCATCTGAACAATGGTGCTTTCTCCCATTCATGTCTGGGTAGAAAGACAATAGGTAGGAAGCAGATCCACAGTGAGACTGATGACAAGATATTATCAGCATCTTCAGTAATGAAGATACTAGAAAACCAGGTTAACTAAATTCAATGAATTTACTCTTGAGTACTGTGTGTGCATATAACTGCACTATTGGTATTGCTATGAAAAACAAAAGAAGCAATATTTGGAGAACAGGTTGATATGTATATGAAGGACAAAGAAGCTAATCTATAATGCAGTTTCTCCCTCCCCTCCCCTCCCCCCCCCCCCCCCCCCCCCCCCCCCCCCCCCGTCCAGGATCTATATTATGTGGCAGATTCTTCAATTCATGTCCTTCTCTCTCTCAAAAAGCACCAACACACAATATCACATCAGTAGATGAGCAAAAACACAAAACATAGTCATGTCAGAATTTTTTTATATCAACGAGATATGTTGATATATATGCAGATAAAGGGGAGGAAAATCATTATAAGTTATCACATTTGATACCAGCATTTAAACGAGAACTGATTTTCTGCTCATTCTAAAGGTATAAAAATATTTATACTGAAATATAAAATTGAAATCATTTTGTGGGACCCATAATATTTGTGCAAGGTGATTGTCTATTCCTATATGCTTATTAAAGTCATATTGATCCTGTAATACTGCCAGCCCAATAAGGATGCTTACAATCTCACAAGGTACAGTAAAACACGTGCAAAACTGGGTCTGATCCCAAGGTATTCATATAAATGTTGCAGTCCACTTATCAAATATAATGCTAAACATTCTCTTTATTTATTTACCCTTAAATTGTCAAATTAGAGCCAGAGGCAGTATCTGTACGCATAGAGTCAATTAGTGAATATAAAGTCCCAGAATCCATTTTTGGAACCATCTTTTGAAAATGATCAGAATTCAGAAAAATCTCGAAAGAATAGGAAGCCAGTAATGTAATCATGTCCTTGAGTTGAATTTTATTCTTGATAATAACATAGGTAGATTCATAAGAGGCGGAGGGCTTGGCTACAATATGGAATTGGTCTTGCCACTGCTTACAGGATTTTTTTAGCTAGTCTATACAAGAGATTCTTCACAGACTTCCATCCAAGTACTAAGTACCAAATACTACTCCACTGTTCAACTAGACAAGATACTACCACTTGTTGAAACTTTTGATTTAGTTGTCCATATTTTTCAATTAAATACAATTAGTATATTTTCCATGCACTTATTAGGTTTGTATTTAAGGAGTTCAGAATAGCTTTATAAAATAAATTAGCATGGTAGATTTATTTGAGCATCTATGTTTTGTCAACACTACTAGATGAGTGTCTCACAGAAGCAGAATCTAAATTTCTGACACTGAGTCTCAATTATTCTAGCTACTAATGGATTATACCATACTATGTAACTAAAATCCACTTCAAGAAACTGAACTGTTCTATAAGCTAAAATTAAAAATCCAGTTGAATTTGAAAAAGTGTTTCTGATTAACCTTGCACCACTCAGTTGAAGTTAAAAACAAAATTCTACAAAACTTTTGTTTATTCACTAAGATATGCAAGCACTTTATATTTTTCCACAATTTTGAAAATTATTCAAATATCCTTCAAATAAAAAATAGCCTCCAGAAAGATGTGGGGTTTTTGTCTTTGTAAATGTGCAGTGTGATCATGCTTGTGGGAATGATAAATAGTCATGACTCATCTGCATAACCAATAACAGTGTCATTCATTAAAATGAGGACATATAGAATTAACATTATCTCTACAATATAACATAAAGCAACAATAACTCTATAACAATTTTAATCTGATTGGAAAGGAAAATATTTTAACATCATCCGGGTGTTTTTTATTTAAGAACTCTCCTAAATTGTCCAGTCCAATTACTTAAAGAGAAATCTACAAAAAAGGGGCATATAGATTTAATATTACCTCCACAATAAAACATAAGACAGCAATACATTCATATAACTTTTCGGTTGAATGGGAAGGGATTTTATTATAATCCAGGATTTTTTTTATTCAAGAAGTCTTTTAAAAATACCAATCTAAGAAGGAATCTAAAACAATGCACACCTATCTAAGAACTTAACCTTAATTAGAGTAATGAATATTTCCATTAAGTCAACATAGGCTTACACTGATGAATTGAATTAGGTTTTAACAGTTAATGGATCACTTCTATCCGCATTGGTATTTGAGTGAAACTATAATTTTGAAAGGAAAAAAGAATGCCATCTTCACGTTTAGACGGCATATGCATGTACTTCAGTATGTTCAATTTTAGAAAAATCATTCCCTTCACGGAGCAGCAGAAAAGCGGAGGGGGGGGGGGGTTGCGCAAACTTATGAGTTAGTCCCAAGTACAGAAGCATCCCTTTTGAGAAAAAAAGGGATGCTATGAATACCGTAAGTATTAAATAATAATTATTAAAAAAAATACTCAAAAATTCCCCACCTAAGAGGGAGAATAGCTTTTCAGTCCGGTAAAAAGGCTTAGGAAATTAAATTAAATATGTTGCCCTCCCTCCTTTCCAGCCACTGGCTCTCAGTCCTGGAATTTTACTGCTTCGTCCTTTGAGGTTAAGAGCAAAGATTCTCGGGCGGGGGGGCACCACAGAAAAGCAAGCCCCTACCCCCCTAAGAGTCTGTTTTAAAAACACGGCTGGGACCCTCTCCCGGGCCTAATTCCATCACTCGGAAGCGCGATCGGATCCCACCAGAGGCAGCCCATTTTTTTCCTCTCTCTGCTCGGGAAGCCTTCCTCCCACCACCCAAAGGAAGGACATAAGCATCTGTGATAGCCCCCTCCCCAGACTCACCTTTCCGAAAGAAAGTGGCACCGCTCGTGCCAGGGCGCCCTTGAACCCCCTTGCCTAGAGCCGGGGAGGGGAGGTGCTTTTTTTTTTTTTTTTTTAGTTCTACTTCAGCCCCGGCAGGTGAAGCTGGTTTCTGCAAGCAATCAAGCAAGCAAGCGAGCGAGCGAGCGCCGGGGTTCCCTTACATCGCCGCCAGGCAGAAGAGTCACCTGAGCCTCGCGGCAAGGCAAGGGCGAGGCGACGCAGGACGTGGCGGCTTCCACCCGACTCCGCTGCCAGAGCCGTGCCTGGGGAGCATCCCCAGAAGCCGGGCGAAGGCAGCGGCAGTCGGAGATGGCAGGAGGGAGAAAAGCTGCTCCTCTGCGCCGGCGCCACGTGACCGAAGACCGCTTCTGCTGCCGCCCTGCTGCCTCGGCCGCCTCCTCCTCCTCTTCGCCCAAAGGCAAATGCGATCCGAGGCTTGGCGCCCCGCCCAGGCCTGACGGGTTGCTTGGGGGAGAAGGTGGGATCTGCTCTCCATCGTCCTAGAGATCTCCTAAATCAGTGTTTCTCAACCTTGACAATTTTAAGGCATGTGGACTTCAACTCCCAGAATTCCACAGCCAGCAATGCTGGCTGTGGAATTCTGGGAGTTGAAGTCCACATGCCTTAAAATTGTCAAGGTTGAGAAACACTGTCCTAAATGGATCACTTCGCAAGCTGCCTTTTCCTCTCTTCAGACCAGAGTCAGGGTCGAGCGGCTGTTATGAATGGTGTCACCAGAACAGGACTTTGGGGCGGAGATCCAGAAGAAGACCTGATATACCAGATTTTGAATGTAGCCATAGGCAAGTTCCTCCTATAACTCTGTGTTGGTAGACCACACAATCTACAACAAAGGACTACACTTTCAAGCAACTATCCATTTTGTACCCACGTAATTTCATCAAAAAGACCTTGACCACTCAACCCAATACAGCACAACCAACACAAACTCTAAAAAGAATTATATACTGCTATACATCAAGAACATCTCAGAAACTGCAAATAGATTACCACAACCACATAGAATTAGTGTAGCACATAAGCCAACTAAAGCCCTTCAAAATATTCTAAGTAAATCCAAAGACCCAGCAACCCCAGAAGAAAAAACAAGTCATCCACAACATACAATGTAAGAACTGCAACAACCACTATGTAGGACAAGCAGGCAGAAGACTGGC